TACTGAGGTATCGGAACGCTATCCTTAGGTTTGCCAGGCGCCCGTACGCTGCAGCAGTTATCTAATTGATATGTGCCTCAGGAGATATGCTCGGTGTTATACTCACCCCAAGATCTTTTTCCTTTAGTGAGGTTTGTAGTCTTTGGCCACCTAGACTATACTGTGTCTGCGGTCTTCTTTGGGCCCTTCCCCAATCTTCAAATTTTGCTTTTGGCAGGGTTAAATTCAAGGAGCCAGTTACTGGACCAGGCTTGTAGCCTGTCCAGGTCTCTTTGTAGTCCTGCCTGATCCTCGACATATTTAATTCTTCTCATTAACTTCACATCGTCCACAAACAAGGACACTGATGAGTGTATCCCTTCCGTTATGTCATTCACATATACCAAGAACAGCACAGGTCCTAGGACTGACCCCTGAGGAACCCCGCTTGTCACAGGCGCCCACTCTGACACCTCGTGTGTGTATGTGTGTGTGTGTGTTGTGTGTGTGTGTGTGTGTGTGGTGTGTGTGTGTGTGTGTATGTGTGTGTGCGTGTGTGTGTGTGCGTGTGTGTGTGCGTGTGTATGTGTGCGTGTGTATGTTTGTGTGTAAAATGTGTGTGTAATGTGTGTGTGTGTGTGTGTGTTGTGTGTGTGTGTGAGTGTGGTTTTGTGTGCGCGTGCCTGTGTATGTGTTCGTGTGTATGTTGTTGTGTGTATATGTGTGTGTGTTTTGTATAGGTGTGTGTGGTGTGTGTGTGTTTGTGTGTTGTGTGTGGGGTGTGTGTGTGTGTGTGTGTATTTTTGTGCGTGTGTGGTGTGCGTGTGTGTGTGCGGTGTATGTGTGCGTGTGTATGTTTGTGTGTATATGTGTGTGTGTAGTGGTGTTTTGGGGTGTGTGTGTGTGTGGTGTGTGAGTGTGTGTGGTGTGTGTGCGCGTGCCTGTTAGGTGCGTGTGTATGTGTGTGTTGTGTTTTGTGTGTGTGTGTAAAATGTGTGTGTGTGTTTTGTGTGTTGTGTGTGTGTGTGTGGTGTGTGTTGTGTGGTGTGTGTGTTGTGTGTGTGTGTGTGTGTGTGTGTGTGTGTTTTAACTAAACCCTGATCTCTTTTATTCTGGTTTTCTTTGGGTTTATAAAAACATTAGCTGGAAGAAGCTTATCTAAAGAATTAATCGAAGAACAATATCAAATTTTTTACCATTGTGGAAGACGAACCTGATAGTCTTGTTTGTACCTTAACACTGGGTTAACACTGGGTTAACACTGGGTTAACACTGGGTTAACACTGGGTTAACACTGGGATAACACTGGACAACACGGGGTTAACTACGGGGATAACACTGGAAAACACGGGGTTTAACACTGGGTTAACACTGGGTTAACACTGGGTTAACACTGGGTTAACACTGGGATAACACTGGGTTAACACTGGGATAACACTGGGTTAACACTGGGATAACACTGGGTTAACACTGGGATAACACTGGGTTAACACTGGGTTAACACTGGAATAACACTGGGTTAACACTGGGTACACTGGGTTTAACACAGGGTTAACACGGGGTTTAAACACGGGGTTAACACGGGGAAACACTGGGGGTTTGCCGGGTTACACTGGAATAACACGGTTAACACTGGGTTAACACTGGGTTAACACTGGGTTAACACTGGGTTAACACTGGGTTACCAGTACAAGTTACGTCAGAAGCTACAGCTCAGGACCTGAGTTTCTCAGAGTGTCTATGTGACACACAACGTCAGTACAACGTCGAAAATCACTAAGTCTAGGCTATGTTCTATGAACAGAGTTACACAGAACTAACAACAAGAAAGCGACAGAGACGATCTTCCAACAAGGACCCACAGTGGAGAGCAGTAGTGGGACCTCTTGTTAGAAGAAACGTCAAACCGACAAAAATGCATGCAGGCCAGGAAGTGTCTCACTCCCCCTGGTGAGGTGGATCACCCCACCCTAAACACGTGACTCTCCGGGACTGCTGCTGTCCAGAAACTACAAAAGCGGGCAGGGAAACAAGCGGAGCGATAATTACAGTAGTTAGACAATGCTGTCAGCTACTTAACACTGGTGAGCAATGACCACTGAATATTGTGTACATGTTACATCCTACCTAATAATATTACTAAGTCAAATAATAATATAAAGCAATATGTTTACGATTTAGCTAATATCGCAAATATAAGAAATATATAATTATTTGAACAGGTAATATACATTATATACATTGTGACCCATTCAGGGGTCGCAATTCTGGGTTAACACTGGGTTAACATTGGGCTAATACTGGGTTAACTCCCTCGTTCCTCCTCTCGTTCTTAATATTCTTCTCTTCGTCCCCCTTCCCTCCCTCCCTCTTTTCCCCCCCTCCTTTCCTCCCTCCCCCTTCCCTCCCTCCCCCCTTCCCTCCCTCCCTCCTTCCCTCCTTCCCTCCTTCCCTCCTTCCCTCCTTCCCTCCTTCCTCCTTCCCTCCACCCTCCCCCCCTCCTTCCCTCCTTCCCTCCGTCCCACCCTCGTTCCCTCCTTCCCTCCTTCCCCCCTCCCCCCTCCTTCCCTCCCTCCCTCCTTCCCTCCCTCCATCCTTCCCTCCTTCCCTCCTTCCCTCCTTCCCTCCTTCCCTCCTTCCTCCTTCCCCCATCCCTCCTTCCCTCCTTTCCCTCCTTCCCTCCGTCCCACCCTCGTTCCCTCCTTCCCTCCCTCCCTCTTTCCCCCTCCTTCCCTCCCTCCCTCCTTCCCTCCCCTCCCTCCTTCCCTCCCCCATCCTTCCCTCCCCCCCTCCTTTCCCTCCCTCCCTCCTTCCCTCCTTCCCTCCCTCCCTCCCTCCTTCCCTACCCTCCCCCTTCCCTCCCCTCCATCCTTCCCTCCTTCCCTCCTTCCCTCCTTCCCTCCTTCCCTCCTTCCCTCCTTCCCTCCATCCCTCCCTCCCCCTTCCCTCCTTCCCTCCTTCCCCCGCCCACCCTCGTTCCCCTCCTTCCCCCCCTCCCTCTTTCCCTCCCCCCCTTCCCCCCTCCCCCCCTTCCCTCCCTCCATCCTTCCCTTTCCCCCCCCCTTCCCTCCCCCTCCTTCCCTCCTTCCCCCTTTCCCCCTTTCCCCCTTCCCCTCCATCCCCCCTCCCCCCTTCCCTCCTCCCCTTTTTCCCCCTCCCCCCTCGTTTCCCTCCCCCCCTCCCCCCCCCTCCTCCCTCCCTCCTTTCCCCCTCCTTTCCTCCCCTCCCCCTTCCC